ACGTAGACAATTCGAAAAATTTGCTGTGTTAACGAGTTTTTCATACCTAATTATATTTTGCATAATTTTCGCTCTTTATAAAAATAAAAGGTAAATACAAATACGTTATTAAATGACGTGTATGTGAGGAATACCCGGGTAAATTAGAATGAATACCTATCTTGGTATGTGACATTTAAGGTCTATGGCCACTACACCGGATCATACTATGGCCGTGACCGTACCGGCATAGGCAGAAAAATATTCTTTGTATAGATTTAAATGAGACAATGCCCACTAGACCGGCCCGGCATCGACCACACCATCCTCATTTGAATCTATACAAAAAAAAATCAGGTCCGGGCACGGTCATAGTATGGTACGGTATAGTGGGCATAGACCTTAAGGATACATTTCTAGAAATGTTTTTGATGCGTTGAACAAAATAAAAAAAATGTCATTTCTGCCTTTATATATACAGTATGTATGAGAAGAAAACTGAATTTTTAAATCATAATTTCGCAAAACTTCGTCTTTCAGAAGCTCCTGAACTAGAGGATGCCATTTTTTTTATCGTTAGAAAACTGTTGAATGGTTTATGTTAAAATTAAATGCTGTTTTCGTGAAGTGATATGAGGATTCTCTGGTCAAATACCTATACTGGATTCAATAAAAAAATACAAGGTAGTCATCAATGATGTCGATGACAGCCATTTATACTACACCTACACAAACCATTTTAATTAATAAAAATCTGATGTGTCCAACACATTAGTTTTGTCCAACACATTAGTTTTCTAGCTAGTTATTATAGGCTTTTTCCGGTTATTTTGTACAACCTATTGCAGCACCTCTATGCATTTTTTACATACATCTAACTCGAAATATTTTTCTATAGATATTCATTGAAAATGAAAATACTGAAAACTTTAAATTTAGCAGTTTTCCTCCAATTTTTCCATTACCGTCCATTTTAGAAAAATCATGTAAAAACAAAAATTATTGAAATCGATATCGCAAACAACTTTTAGTTTAACAATTTTCTTAAAAATCAGAATTTTGCCCATTTTGTAAAATTTCTCGAATACGGACCATTTCAGGAAAATTTGACATAAGGCAAAAATTATAGATAATATTAGAAGTAACTTTTATTTGGACAATTTGCTTCTTCAAACATAAATAACAGATATATTCCATAAAATATAAAAACGGCTTCCCATAAAGTAACCCCCCCAGATGTTCTGACTTTGTCCAAAATCAAATCGTTGCACGTCAGGCCGAAATAAAACTTAAGTTTAAAATTTAATGTTTTTTCTTTATCCGTTTTTGAGTTTTGTTCAATTAATTACGTGAGGTATTTTTGAGGATTTTTGACCCCCTCTCCCCCCCTGGTTAGATTTCGTAAGATTTTCCTCAACTCCCTCCCCCCTCCCCTAATCTCCCGTGAGATTTTTTAAAATTTGTGTTTTGGGTATAAATGCATTGGATTATTAAAAAAACAATGTTTTATTACTTTTATTTAAGACTAAAAATTTCTAGAAACATTCTTTACTTTAATTTAATTTTCACGCAATTTTATACCGTTTTCTACTAGAAAAAAAAAATACGTTAGATTTACAAAGACCCCCCTCTCCCCCAAGTGAGATTTGGAAAGATTTAGCTTGATCCCCTCCCCCCCTTGAACACCTCACGTAATTAATGGACGCCCCCTAACCCCCCAGATGTTCCGACTTTGTCCAAAATCTAATCGTTTCACGTCAGGCCGAAATAAAACTTTAAAAGTTTAAAATTTAATGTTTTTTCTTTATCCTTTTTTGAGTTTTCTTCAAAATTCGAAATTTACACATTTTCCTAAATATCTCGAATACGGTTCATTTTAGAGAAATTATGTATAAAATAAAAATTATAGAGAATTATATTAAAAACAACTTTTATTTGAACAATTTTTATAAAAAATTATTTTTTTTACATTTTGTCAAATTGCTCGAATACGGACCATTTTAGGAAAATTTTGTATAGAACAAAAAATATTAATAATAAAATTATTTAAAGAATTTTCTTTTCCAAACGTAAATAACAGATATATTCCGTAAAATATTAAAATGACCACCTATAAAGTACCCCCCCAGATGTTCCGACTCTGTCCAAAATTCAATCAGTTTATTGGACGCCGGAATAAAGCCTAAGTTTAAAATTTGGTGTTTTTCTTTGTATCGGTTCATGAGTTATAATGGATACAGACACACAGACACACATACAGACACACAGACACACATACAGACACACAGACACACAGACACACAGACACACAGACACACAGACACACAGACACACAGACACACAGACACACAGACACACAGACACACAGACACACAGACACACAGACACACAGACACACAGACACACAGACACACAGACACACAGACACACAGACACACAGACACACAGACACACAGACACACAGACACACAGACACACAGACACACAGACACACAGACACACAGACACACAGACACACAGACACACAGACACACAGACACACAGACACACAGACACACAGGCACACAGACACACAGACACACAGACACACAGACACACAGACACAGAGACACAGAGACACACAGACACACACACACACACACACACACACACACACACACACACACGCATACGCACAGACACACACACAGACACACACACAGACACACACACAGACACACACACACAGACACACACACACACACACAGACACACACACAGACACACACACAGACACACACACAGACACACACACACAGACACACACACAGACATCATCGCGAAAATAGTCAAAATGGATTCAGGGGACCTCAAAACGTAAAAATCCGTCGAAAACTCGAGGTCGAAAAAAATCATGATTCCTAAACTTTCCTTATCTGTATAAAGTAAAAATGTGTCCTGCTCCAAACAAAAATCGACGTGTCCAAGCATTTTTCTTCTAGATGCATAATTTTCACCCTTAAGAGGGCGCTAATATCGGAATTTGACGCATTACTGAATTTCTTATAAAATTACTTTTCAAAAATGTGCCACACTTAGTACTTTCCCTAGCTAAATTCAAGGGGTTGTTCACCCCATTGCTTCAGGGTTGAAGTGTCAATTATGCAATTAGAAAAAAAATGTGTCCCTCCTCCAAACAAAAATTGACTTGTCCGAGCATTTCTTCTTTAAATCTTAGGGAATCAAGAAAAGGGGGGTGGATATTTTTCATTGGACCACACTGTATATGAAGCATACAGATGGGATTTTACTAGGGCATTATATAATCTGATTTTGATGGAAATCCAAATGTTTTTTTGTATTTATAATTTAAAAACCCAGAGCTTTTATTGCTTTTTACTTTCCTATCTGTATACAGACAAGGAAAGTATAGGAATCATGAATTTTTTCGACCTCGAGTTTTCGACGGATTTTTACGTTTTGAGGTCCCCTGAATCCATTTTGACTATTTTCGCGATGATGTCTGTGTGTGTCTGTGTATGTGTCTGTGTGTATCTGTGTGTCTGTATCCACCATAACTCATGAACCGATACAAAGAAAAACACCAAATTTTAACCTTAAGCTTTATTCCGGCGTCCAATAAATTGATTGGATTTTGGGCAGAGTCGGAACATCTGAGGGGGTACTTTATAGGTGGTCATTTTTATATTTTACGGAATATATCTGTTATTTACGTTTGGAAAAGAAAATTTTTTAAATAAAAGTTACTTACAATATTATTATCAATATTTTTTGTTCCATACAAAATTTTCCTAAAATGGTCCGTATTCGAGCAATTTGACAAAATGTAAAAAAAATTATTTTTTATAAAAATTGTTCAAATAAAAGTTGTTTGTAATATAATTCTCTATAATTTTTATCCTATACATAATTTCTCTAAAATGGACCGTATTCGAAATATTTAGGAAAATGTGTAAATTTCGAATTTTGAAGAAAACTCAAAAACGGATAAAGAAAAAACATTAAATTTTAAACTTAAGTTTTATTTCGGCCTGACGTGCAACGATTTGATTTTGGACAAAGTCGGAACATCTGGGGGGGTTACTTTATGGGAAGCCGTTTTTATATTTTATGGAATATATCTGTTATTTATGTTTGGAGAAGAAAATTGTCCAAATAAAAGTTACTTCTAATATTATCTATAATTTTTGCCTAATGTCAAATTTTCCTGAAATGGTCCGTATTCGAGAAATTTTACAAAATGGGCAAAATTCTGATTTTTAAGAAAATTGTTGAACTAAAAGTTGTTTGCGATATCGATCTCTATAATTTTTGTTTATACACGATTTTTCTAAAATAGACCGTAATGGAAAAATTGGAGAAAAATGTTTCTAGGTAGATGTATGTGGAAAATGTATATATTTAGTTTATCCTCTAAACATTTATAGAGGTGCTGCAATAGGTTGTAGAAAATAACCGGAAAAAGCCTATAATAACTAGATAGGAAAGTCATGTGTTGGACACATCAGATTTTTTAGTTATGTGTAAGAAATGACTATTGAACTTCAAATTAGACTGAAAGACAACCCCCAAATTCTTTATCTTATATTCACGATTAGTGTGCCATCACAGGTTTGACGTGTCTGAGCATTTCTTCTTTAAATCTGAGGGAACCAAGAACACGGGGATAGATACTTTTTATTGAACAATAAAATTATTTTTATTTTATTTATTTATTTATTTATTTATCTCTTCATTAAACGACTATGCATAATTTTTCTTTATTTACATTATATTATATTTGAAAATGTTGAAATAGATATTTTTTATGGAGATGATATCACTTTGATTGGATCGATTTATGGATTTTCCAGTGTTTTAAAATTGGATTAAAATGATTTAAAAAGAAAAATAATCACCCGAGGCATGGATAAGACATTCGCGCAGTATGAATTCGGGATTTCCGTAAATAATTAATTGAAATTTCCATTTCTTTAGCAGATTAACGAGTTATTGACACAAAAATAGCATTGGTGCAATGGGATGATTATTTAATTAATAAAAATATGCCGATTAAAGTATAAATATATATAGTTGTTAATATTGTCTAGAATCAAAGTGATTATTTCTATCAGCAGTGGTTGTACCAATTTGCAATGTTTTGGAAACAATATATTTATCTAAACTTGGCTGCAAGTAAGTTTACACAAAATGGTCGTAAGTTATTTCACTAATTTTGAATTTTCCACTTTTCAGGTGTTTTTCTTTATGTTAAAGGATATGCTATTTCCAATGAAAATAATGATGGGTAAGTGTGACATCTTTAAATTTTATTTGTTACCGTACAACCTAAAAAAATTAAAAACCTATATCCTTTCAAAAAAGAGCAAATTTTTACATCCTTTTATAAGATCAACCATTTGCATACAGGATATTTTAAAAATGAGTATTATTATGTCTTTATTTGGATAGAGTTAAATTAGATTTGTCCATCCAAAATCCTGCCGGCTTGTGAAGAAACGGGTTTTTGTGAAATTTGTTACATTTTTTTTGGTATTTTAAAGTCCCCAAATAAAATTGTTTAAAATACAGATTCATCAGATACCAAGCTAATGAATAGTGGCGTTAGAACTTGTTTATTTTATGTTTACATGACTTAAACAGAGCTAATTTTAAGTTAATTTACAATTTTTTTTGAAACGCAACACCCTGTATATTAATTTGGCAAAAAATTCCTTATAAATATTAGTCAATTATAGTTCAGTGCCTAATTGGTCGATAGCTGTTTTATTATTGGACATACGAAAAACATTTCAATATAAAAGTTGTATGACCATAATTAAAATTTATTCTTAAATATACAGGGTGATCTATGAACGAGGGGCTGACCAAACTTATTATTTTTTATAGTAAAACGCCCTGTAGGTAGTTACACATATTTGACTGTTTTCATATCGTTAAACAATTTTAATAGACCTTATTCATTTGCTTTGTTGTATACAGGGTGTGCCAAAATGCAAAGATACGAGTTTCTCAAGTTTTTAAATGGAATACCCTGCAGAGCTAGGAGCTAGGTAATTACATGTACTTTAAAAATAATTACAATTACAAAGTACTTTTTCAAAAAAGAAATTAATTACAAATACAAAGTACATGTTGTAAAAATAGGAATTATATTGATTTAATTACAATTACATGAAAAAAGGAATTAGTAATTACCTTTATAATTACTTTTCTTATCACTTTGCCGATAAAACAACAAATTTTCTACAAACATCTAAAAACCCAAGAACTACAAAAAAAAAAATTCTTTGATATCTATAACCACTGAACTTCATTTATAAATAATAATTTTTTTTAGAGAATGTATCTTACCAAGTTACCCCCAGAATGGTAAATGGGTGATTACTGGAGGATCTGAGGCCAGTCCAGGATCAACAGTGCCAACTAACAGTACTATATCCTTTTCTTGTAACGACCCATACAAAGTTTCTGGTGATTACAGTAAAATAATTTGTCTTGGAAAAGATTGGAATCTGCCTCCACCTGAATGTCTAAGTGAGTATATTTATATTTAAAATATAATACCTATGTACTTAAAATTTGCTGTAAAATAATAAAAATAAATAATATATCTAAATAAATAATACAATATGTTAATACTAGGGGTTTGTTTGCCATATATGTGAGTTAAGGTCAAAAGTGAAAAAAATAAAATAGTTTAAATATAATTTACAAAGAAACATATAAATCAAATGTTATTCCTAATGTAATAGATATTTTTAAAACATATTAGATGGTAAAATTGAACTAAAAAAAAAAAATCGAATATGAAAAAAGAATATTTGGGACTAACCCTAATGTGAAAATATAATATGACAGAATATGACAGATAGTCCTTCGAGTATCTCAATTATTCAAAAAACTTAAAGCTTGATACAACAGCGGGCTGTCAAATACAAACTACAGTCTGTTCGCTATACGTACGCGAGTTTCGGATTAAAAATTTTATGAGTATTTCCAGGTAAGTACCCGAAAGTTTGACCTGTTCTTTGGGGAAATATCAACTAGTTAAATGAAATGAAAAATAATGTACAACTTTTTAATTAAATAATAATGGAGAATCTTTTGTCTAATTGAGAACAGAATTAAACTTCTTCATTAGGAGTTTGATGTGGCTATTATAAACCTAATAATAATTTTATATTACAACAAAAATAAAAATCAGTCATTATCATCCAAAATATCATAATCGTCATCATCATCACTGTCATCACCATTAATTGTTATTATGATTGGACTTATTTCGTTTATTTTATTTTCGCGAGTCCACCAATCTTCTATTAGTTTCTCGCACTTGGATATACAGTTCCGCCACACTTCTGGAGTTGCAATTGAAAGTGCTTTTCGCCAAGTTTCCCGAACTGCGTCGTCACTATAACCATTAGACCCAATATGGTTGTCATAATATTGTTTTGCTATTCCCCATATATATTCGATGGCATTAAACTGGCAATGATACGGTGGCAGACGTAAAACTTGATGACCGTAACTTTCAATAATCTGTTCCACAACAAAGGTTTTTGGTTTTGCGTGTATATTTGCCAAGCGTAATAATTCTGATTTTAATATATATTTATTTATTTATTTATTTATTTGTCTTAAGGAGGTCCTTTTGCCACCAATCTTAAATAAAAAATATTAGATTATGACTAAAATTATTTTTTTTTCTAATAGTAGATGTCCTTATTTATCTAATAGTGAAATTTTAACTATACCTTACCGTGCAAATTTTCAACTAGGTTACTTGAAAATTTTTTGTGATTTTTTAATATTAATTTCTCAATAAGTTCCACGGTTTACTATATATATTTTATTGATTAAACCAGTAATTAGTGGGTAATGCAGCAAATGAAAGAGTACTTTTTTAAGTTTATTCCAAGCTTTCGGAAATGTTTATTTCCATCATCAGGGAGAATCTTAATTAAGGTTGTTCATTTTGGTGGTATTATTCAGTTTAGTAAAAATACAAAGTAAAATGGACAAGCTGAAGTCAATTACAAAATAATATTATACACAAACAATAACTATCAACTCTCTTATATTTTATTGTATAAAACAAAATCTAAATATTTCAAAAACCTTATTTTTAGTTTTTTTCTTCCATCTAATCAATAAATAATAGTATAATTCGAGAATTGTTGTTGATGACTTACTTTCTCGTGAGGCAATGTACAAATACTCACATTTAAAAAAAAAAATTCTCAAAAATTTGCAAGGTAAGGTATAGTTAAAAGTTCAGTATTAGATAAATAAGGACTTCAACTATTAGAAAAAAATTAATTTTAGTCATAATCTAATAACTTTTTTTTTAACATTTGAGGCGAGAGGTGTGGCGAAAGGACCTCCTTAAGTACACTACAGAAATATGAATTCCAAATGGCACAGTCTTAAAGCTAAAACAACAATTAAAGTATAAGTATATACATATATAAAAAAAACCGAATATATAAATATCAAAACTCTTCAGAAATTTTAAAATACATTTAACGTCTAAAAAACAAAGTCTAACACCATACAAGACAAGAAACAACCTAAAATTTTAAAATTTGAGCATCCTCTTAAAAGATAATAACGTACAATTAAAAATATCACAGTGAGAATAGTGCTTATTATAGTTGCACAAAAGCCTATTCATAAAAGCTCTTTGTCCATAGTTTGTACGATGGGTTTTCTCAAAGAATAGTTGTGACTGTCGAGTATGCCTTAACGGAACAACGAAATTTACTTGGCATAACAATTTTTCACAAATAATGTCTCCATTAATTATTTTGTAGAGCAAAAGTAACATTGCATCCCTGCGTCTCCGTTCAAGAGTTTGCATACCACAGAGTAGCAGTCTCGTTTCATACGATAAATCCCGATATGGAAAGTGAAACTTAAATAGCAAACATTTACAAAATTTGTTTTGAACTCGTTCAATTCGGTTGACATAAATAGCTTGTGACGGAGACCAAACAGTACTGCAATACTCTAAAATACTTCGGATCAAACCACTGTACAAACATGTTATTGCTTTAGTGTCTTGTATATGCTTTGTGCTTCTTTTTATGAATCCTAATAGCCTAAACGCCCTCAGAATGATAGTATCAACATGTAAAGAAAAGGATAATTCCCTGTCGAATATTACCCCTAAATCATTAAATGTGGAGAGGCTCTCCAGCGTAGTATTATTAATAATGTATGAGTTTTCGACGGGGTTAGAATGTCTGTAAAATGATATAATTTTACATTTTGATATGTTTAGTTCTAAATAGTTAGAACTGCACCAAGAGACAAATTGATTTAAATCAGACTGTAGGGCGTTATAATTAGGTTCCACAATATTAAAAAATTTTAAATCGTTAGCATATAAGAGACAATGAGAATTTTTAAAACAGGACACTACATCATTTATAAATAACAAAAATAAAATAGGGCCAATATGTGAACCCTGGGGTACTGTCACTTCCCGCGACACAGAACCATTCACTGTAACACGCTGCCGTCGGTTAATAAGATAGGATTTAATCCACTTAAGGTAATTGCCTGTTATCCCAATTTCAGATAGTTTCTTTAAAAGTAACTGCTGACATACACTATCGAACGCCTTAGAGAGGTCGGTGTTAATTGTATCAACTTGGTAACCAGCTTCAACCGAAGAGGTAATAAACTCCTGATAAATAGCCAGATTAGTAGTTGTTGAAAGGCCTCTGTAGAAGCCATGCTGCTCATCTATTATGTAATTCTTAAACGTGTAAATCTGTTAAGATTGATTCCAACAGCTTAGGAATTGCTGATAGCCTAGAAATGCCTCAATAATTTTTTATGTCTGATTTATCCCCGGACTTAAAAATTGGAACCAAGTTAGAATATTTCCATCTGGACGGGACATATCCTCTGTCGAATGATCTCTGGAAAATTGTGCAGAGTGGTGCAGATAAAGCTGGGCACTTCTTGAGAAGGATAGGTGGTATTCCATCTGGCCCAGAACCTTTGGAAGGATCAAGATCCAACATTTTCTTCTTTATTTCATCTTCTTTAAAGATATGAAATGAGAGATGGGAACCAAATTTGACTGATTCCAAGTGATTTAAGTCAAGAGTGCTGTGGTTACTGTAGCAAGACTCAAAATGTAGTGCAAAAGTATCAGCGATAGATGAAGGTGTTTTTAAAGTATCATTGTTGTATTTCATGATAGACGGCATATGTTCTATATTGAGGAAATGGTATATGTTCCTTTGTCAACCATTCTTTAATTTTATCAACAGTCCAAGAATTATTTGGACTTTTGTTTAATACTTCAGAATGGTAAGGTGCATTGTCTAAAATAATTACGCTGGGCTCACTTAAACCTGGGAGAAGTTTTTCATGCAACCATTTTACAAACATTTTTGTGTTCATATTATCGTGATAGTAACTGGATTTTTATTTAGATGAAAATATTAAATCAGCGCCTTCTATAAAACCCGATTACCCTCCTGCATGTAAAATTATGTGTCGCTTCCCTTCTCCATCGGTATGTTTGATGGACTTTACGTTATCATCTTACCATATTCTCTTGGTTGCACCCCTAGAAAATATTCATGTTTCGTCTAAATATATAGAATTCGCCCCTTCTTCTTTAAATTAAGAATATTTTCTTAGAAAGTTAATTCTCTTGTGCACGACAGAACTTCTTTCACAAAGGGCTTTTCTGTTATCCTCCTTTTGAAATTTGAAACCCAAGTTATGTATCACTTGCCATAGACTTGTTCTGCCAATGTCGTCAAATTTTCTATCTATTAATTCCGAGAGAATTGTATTTAAGGTCACATGTTCCTTGTTGGCCCTCATTCGATAAATGGTATCACGAATTTCAAATTTCTTTCCATCTGGAATATCTTTCGTTTTCAATGATGGACGAGTTTTGCGGTGATCTTCTTTCGGCAGTTCACTATTGTGATTTTGTAATACTCCTCTTAATTTGGTTTCACTAATTCCTAGAGCATCGCATACGCGTTGTTGTACAGACATTACCGATTTTAAAGGACCGCTATTTTCGTTTTCATCCGTAAAATACTTATGTACACTACAAATTAGACTATCTACATCTAACACACGTCTAGGCATTTTTAAAATTTCCACTAAATTTACAATATACATACAATGTCAACACTTGCAAAGAATCAATTCAACTGCAATATTTGTAACAAATTTAGTAACTATATATATATATATGTTATTTTAATTTAAATCTGACCATTAGGGCAATTTTTCCTAATTTCTTGGGAAGAGGCTTATTGGAACTGGTTGTCAATGACTAATTTGCATAATATTGTTAATCCGAAACCCGCGTACGTATAGCGAACAGACTGTATTGGAACTTACAATATTTCACAGGAAAACTAAACAAAACAATAAACAAATGATCGAAATCATAGCCCGCTATAGGTTTGGCTAGAAATTATTCACCCTATATTCTTAATTTCAACGTAGCAATCTTGACAAGACCTACTACATTAAAAAAAAGTCAAGCCCGTAACTAACAATTTTTTTCTAGTAACGAATTTCGAAACATTAAATGTATTCCTTTCATTTGCATCACACTGTATGATTACTATAATGTGCAGTTACCAAAACAGAGATTATATATTATGACATTTTGATAAAAATATTCGATTTACAATCAATGCAAAATTCAATAGGTATTGACCCATATCAGTTATAAACAGTTATTTTCAAAATAAATATGAAATAATTCTGGGAAACTGGAATTTCCGAGATAACAAATATTATACAAATCAAAAATTTGTGTTATCAAAATTAAATATGATTGCTTTTAAAAATAAATATGATAAATAGGAATAACTACGTATACATTTTTTTAATTTTTAAAATCATAACTAATAATTTAATTGCACTTTTCATTTTAAATAAAAGTATATACTTGAAAATGTTTCTGTCTTTAATATAAAAATTCATCCAAAGGACATTTTAATTTACGAAAATATTTTTGCAGGTGTAGAAAAGTTACAGAAAGCAAAAAGAGGAGTAACAGTAACTAAAACCGGATATGGAGAAGTAATAATAGAAAACAACGAAAGGCCACAAAGAATAACTGTAGGTGGAAGATTTGGAGATGGAATTGTAGTTCAGTCAGATGGAAGCAGACTAGTCGTAAGTTCAGGACAAGGGATAACACTTGGAGGAAATGAAGAAGAAATAGTTGGAGGAAGAGTACGAGGAAATAGAATCGATAGAAAAGGGGTACAGGTTGGTGGAACTGAAGGAGATGGAATTGTAATTGGAACAGGTGAAAAAAGAGGAGTAGTAGTAGGCCTAGGAGTCGAAGGAAGATCCAACTCATACACAAGACAAACCATAACCCTAGGCGGAAAGGTTGGAGATGGAATTGTAGTTAAATCGGATGGAAATATACTGGCAGTAAGTTCAGGACAAGGCGTATCAATTAGAGAAAACGAACAAGATGGAATCATAATTGGAAGCGATGGAGAAATAATTGGAGGAAGAGGAAGTGGTGGAATTCAAATCGATAGGAACGGAATACAGATTGGTGGAACTGGAGGGGATGGTATTGTAATTGGAACTGGAGGAAGGAGAGTAGTAGTGGGCCCAGGAGACGAAGGAAGACCCAACTCATTTACAAGACAAACAATAACTCTAGGCGGAAAAGTTGGAGATGGAATTGTAGTTCAATCGGATGGAGACGGAGTAGTAGTACTTGGAGGAAACGAGGAAGAAATAGTTGGAGGAGGAGAAGGAGGTGGAATCCGAATCGATAGGAAAGGAATACATATTGGTGAAGCTGCAAGAGATGGAATTGCAATTGGAACAGGAGGGACGAGAGTAGTAGTAGGCAGAGAAGACGAAGAAAGCGTAGATTCGGACGCAAGAAGAGCAACCGCTGAAGGAAAAGGAGAAACTGCATTTGTAAATGGAGGTAGTCGAGCAGGCGGTGAAAGGACAGTACTAAAAGCACCAGAAAATACAAGGCAGCGAGGTGATGGCCAAACTGTTGATGACGGTTTGTATTTAATATTTTGATACTCTCAAGTATAACTACTGATTCAAATCCAATCATAACAATGTATCAGAATTTTGAATCCTATTTGTGTATATAGAAACAAAATATTTTTAAGAAAACTTTTTTTTTAAGTTATAGATAGTCGCTATGTGGTAGTTATAGAGTAAAAGAAAAGAAATAAAACTAGGTCCTTAAGCTCTCACATAATTATTTAATCACCAATAAATATTAAATATTTCTGTGAGAGCTTAAGGACCTAGTTTTATTTCTTTTCCTTTCCATTTTTTGTTGCTAAAATGGAGTTACAATGCATTATCCTAATAATTACATAACACCATACTTTTATATTGTGTCCTGTATAATCTTCCTAAAATGTATTCATCTATTTATAAATTTGTAGAAGGACGTAGAGGTCAAGATGGACTAGTAATTAGAGACGGAGAGACAGTTAACGGGTACGCAGTAGGAGTTGGACAACCAGGTGGTAGTGGAGAACAGATAGGTGGTCGAGGAGGTGATGGAGGTGTAGTAAATGGAGGAGATGTAAATGGAGTTTTAGTTGGAATTGGTGGAGAGGGCGGAAATGCTGGATCAGCTAGTTCGAATAACAAACGAAAGCAAGGACAAGGTAATTACCAAAATAATGTTTTTTAAACTGCACACAGATAATAATTGATTATATAACATCAGATCTCGCACTCTCTGACAACAAACTCGAACGATCTGCCAATCTAGATTAATTTTTAATTAATTATTTTAGGCTTTTAAGAAAAAATAACTAATTTTAAAATAATTTATGACTTTTACTATTTTATAAAACAAGAAAAAAGATTTAATTTAATTAGTCTCAGCTCAGATTTGAACCTGGACCTCTCGCGTGGAAGACAAGCCCCGTGTCCTCACCTCCATCGCCACACTTACGATTTTAGTTTTAATACTCGTAATTAAATTAGTTTTATTTAAGTAGTTTGATTAAAATTTGAGATTTATTTGTAAATGTGGACGAAATAAAAAGAAATGCTGTTATTTATCGATTCTATACTAACACATTTTTACGTATATTGAATCTCAATATCTTAAAAATATATTGACAATTACTTTGACAGAATTGTAATAATAGTAGCTGGGTGGCCAAAATATGAATTGTGAGTGGTAGATTTATTTCTTTTTGCAGTGTTCATACTAGGTAGAATGGATATTCGTTAAGTTGAACGCAATGGCGTTTTGTAGTCTTTGCGTAGATAAGCTAATACCCATATGGGTGTTTAAAAAAATATTCATACTTATTTTTGAGCAAAATACCTTACGAAAGGAGGTTCGTGTCTTAGATATGTAATGGCCCAGAAGTCTAAATATATTAGATTTAAACTGCCACCTTAACTTTAAGAAAATATGGTTTGGGTGGTGTGCTGGCTGCACTTATTAAAATAATTCCTTCGATAGAAAAAAACTGTTTTCAAAAAGGTTTTTATATTTGACATAACGTAATAATTCAAAATGACAATTAATTATCTATGTTAAAAAATAACAAGTCACAAGATAGTATCTTGAGACTAACTCTCCAATATTTCTCCGGGCACCATAAAAAAAACAAAAATTTAAATGAAGGTTAGGATGGTGAAGTTGCTGCCGCTTGCTGGTTGGCTTGCAATAAAATAATTTTCGTAATTGGTCGTCTGAATTCACCAGTTGACGTTTTTACGTCAACCACTCTTGTTTTGTTATCATAAATAATTGCTTGTTTTATTAATTCTTTAAGCTCATCATCATGTTCTTTAGTGTAACAATGAAGACAAAACTCTTCCATGAACTATCCAGCCTAATTTTGTTTTTGTTGCCAAGGGACCATTAGGCGGACCTTCAATTACTTCCCTAGCTACTGTCAAATTTATATTATCTTGACCAATAAGAATCAATGGTTTTGCGTCCTGTAGGTTAGCTAGAGGAACTTTAGATAAATGTTTCCATTTATCAGATAGTTGCTTTACATTTATTGTCTGAGAAGGCAACGATAAATCTACATGTGGAAACGGTTAAACAACTTGAACCAAAATGAGATAAATTTAAATTTGAAAATATTAATATTAATAAAATTATGATTTAGCAAGTTGTAAACATCCCGAAATTTATAATTTTGGGAGTGAGGATGACCAGGAACTTGTTGGATACGTTGTGGACAATGAGCACTGATGATGGCAAATAAGCCGAAAGCGCTTTGCATTAATAAAAAAGTTTTGCACGAAATACAAGTTTTTCCTTTTTGAAATTACCTTTGACTTTTAATCTTACGCGTCTGGATTGAGGCTCTGAATAACAAGCTTTGTCATTAGTCCAATACATTTTCAATGGATCTATGGTTCCTTCAGCATCGACTTATCTGGCTAGATTAGCATCAATTAGTGACAGTTTACTACCCTCGTCACATAAAGCAAACGTTTCTACTAGCTTAGATTTCCCGATGACGACTACAGGAACTACTCGCAGCATGACGTCATTTTTTCCTGAAGGAAATGATGTCCATGCTCAAATCCAGTAGTATCATTTTCCATTTCTTCTTTAATTAATGGTTCATGAATCTCTAAAACTTCAAATTGATTATCATGACTATTCTTAGAATGCAATAATGAATTATGAATTTTTTTACAACTATCTATACCACATTCTTTCTTGAACTTACATCTAAATGTTGTATGGTTAGGTTTTAAACATGAAAAATATACCTGTTTCTCTTTAACCCACTCCCACTTTTTGGTCGTATCCAAATCTTGGAATTTTTTACATTTATAAATGGGATGACTGGTATTCTGACAAAAACTACATACAATCTTCCTCCTTTTTTCATTCATTGCTACCAGTACATTGCTTCGATGCCTGTGTTCCGTTGAAGTGGATGGTTTGCATAACAAACTGGCTGCTGATGACTCAATTTTCAGCCACTGCGCAAAATCCAACAATGAGGGAACTGGAATTGAATTTCCTGTAACTTTAATGACTTCTCTTGCCCACTGAAATTGCAAATGTTCTGGTAACTTCAATACTAAATAACTAAGAAGTTGAGGATTTACTAAATGAGCAGTTATATCAAGTGATTGTACGGTAGCTACAATATTTTGAATAGCATTTGAAAACTGAATGTGTGACAGTAGATTTTTAAAATGAACATTGGGCATCAAACGCGCCTTATTTATCATCGACTCTATAATAAATGCAGGCCTTCCAAATCTTGTTTTTAAAATTTGTAAAATAATATTTAAATTTCCAGGTGAAAGAAAAAGAGATCTAACCTCATTTAAAGCTTCGCCTTCTAAACTCTTTTGAAGACGTAAAAGATTTTCTTCTTCAGAAAAATTACCTTTTTCGCATGAACGTTTAAAAAACGAAATAAACATTGGCCATTTTTCTACATTACCACTAAAGATTGGTAAATCTTTTCCTAACACATGTTTAAAATCAACATCATTCATAGCTTTTGTTTTTGATTGTATGTTAAATGTTTTAAAGCTTTGGTCATTGCATTTACAAGTCTTTCAGATGTAGTCTGGTTTAAAACAAATAAATCTTTCAATACCTGAAATTCAGCCGATTCAACCGCGACAGGTTGCAACTCCGCAACTTTTTCATGTGACGCCTCCTTTACCTGAACTCCTAGAATTTCCTTTTCAGTATGCATGTGTTTTGACCGTGGCGGGTCTAGTAGGTAAAACATTGGCGATACTCTCCCTTACTGCAGTGGGCAATTCAGTAACTGTGGCGGGTTCAGTATGTTCCTTCTCTGCAACGCTTCGTTTAGAATTCAAGTCTTCGTTCAATCAAGATTGTACCCTTTCATGGTTGTTTTCTTGTCTTTGTAAACTATAATTACTTCTAATTGATCTTCTACTATTCATCGATTTCTCCAACACTTCTGCTGTTTCTAGCAAAGCTCGTGCGTCTATTTCTTCCAAACCTCTCTAAGCATTATTTCTTTCAAATTCTCGTTGTTTTATTTCCAATTCTAATTCTAATTCTCGTTGCTTCAATTCCATCTCCTTCTTTTCTTCCTCCTTTCTAATTATATTTGCGGCTTCTACTACTGACAGAAACACCTGATTCTGGGTAGCGTTGTGGAGAAACACCTGCGTTGTTTCTTCTGGTTCTTCTTAATGATCCTTCCTGGGACATTTTATTTTACGGCAAAAATAATTTACTTCTCAGGAAGACACGAAAAATATTAAGGCGAAAAGGACCAAATGTGCTGGCTGCACTTATTAAAATAATTCCTTCGATAGAAAAAAACTGTTTTCAAAAAGGTTTTTATATTTGACATAACATAATAATTCAAAATGACAATTAATTATCTATGTTAAAAAATAACAAGTCACAAGATAGTATCTTGAGACTAACTCTCCAACAGGTGGACTGGATCATTTTTGCATAACTACGTCCATACTATACAGATAAATTTTAAACTTTAACCTAGAATAATAACTGATATAAGTTATAATTTAAACCAAATATTACCTAGAGAATACAAAATTGAATGTAACATCTGATTATTTTTATTACCTTTGGTTAATTTTAACTTAGACCCCTAAGACGAAAAAGTAACGTCATAGTCCAATTAAATAACGAAAAAAAGCCCCTTAGAGCTTACATTAATTTGTAATTGGATGAAACAAAGTGGACCTTGTGTATTTTGATGTGATCTTTCTGAAAAAAAGACAAAAATTTTTTTTATCCGGAATTTTCCATGGTAAAAATGCTAATTATCTGGGCAAGTATCATTCTGATAGTAAAAATAAATGCACATGTAAGAGGAGGCAAAAATAGTTCGGAATTTCATTGCACAGGTAGTTTTAATGGCGAATTTCTCGCCGCCAGAAGTGCTTTTACCAAAAAGTTGTTTTTTCGTTTCTTTGATCAGAATCATGAACATGAAATTTGCGATGAATTTGTGGCTAAATTATAAATGTTAGACATATGTGCCCATGAGAGAAGTTGCGTATTTTTTTGTGGGCTCTCAAATAAAATAAGACCCGCGGCGAAATCTGCCATAATTTTTCGGGAATTTGCAGGAAACCGGAAGGCGTAAATTTTTTTTAATTTTTTTTCCATATGATTTTCTCCGGGTTTTCCGAAAACATCTAACAAAAAATATGTTTGAAGAAACATCCTTTTTTTTTGGCATTGTCAATCGCGGCCCTTTTATGCCTATCCCAGGTTTTATAAATAAACTCTTTTCCGTAACGTCGAACCACGTGTACACAGAGCTTGCTGAACACGGTTATTAAAAATCTATGCCGATGAACACTATCAAGCGATTCAATTTGTAATAATATGACCGTTTCAAGTTTAAACTTTTCGGATAGCGAACGCCGAGACCATGGCTATCCTTGATACGACATCCGGCTAATTTTGCGGTAATTCTATTTTTTGCACAAAACTCAAGAAACGTCTTATAACAAGTCAGTAAAATACAATTTAATAAATTTTAGGCCTAATAAATTTAGGTATGTAAGATATTTAAAACTGGAAATCACAAAAAAAAGCAAATTACAGAAATGCACGAGTTTTGGATCCCGCGGAGCGCGTGTAATGGGACTTTTGTCGGGAGAATTCTACAACTTAGAAGAAACATACACACTTTAAACTTTGCATATACATTCAGAAGATATGAGATTTGGGTTTGCTCAATTTTCAGACCAAAAAACTGAAAATCGTTAATTTTAGGCAACTTTTCTCAAAAACCGTGTTTTTTGGTCGTCACTCAATGAACAGTGGTCAAAAAAATAGATAAAATATTTTTTTCAGAATTTTCCGTAATGTAATCGTATTCCAGACATAATAGAGTATTCAAAAAAAAAGTTTTGAGTCATTGGGTGCATTTTTGGCATTTTTGTGCCACTTCAAACTTTCGAAAAAAAATTAGTTTTTTTTAGGGAAAAAATTTGTTAAATTGTTTGATATCTTGGCCAATTATAATCCGATTTTTGTAAAATTCACACACATATAATATTTCATATTTAAAAGTAAGCTCTGTAAGTGGCATTAAAAAAATTTAAATAGTTTGGCCGTTATAGGCAAACAATGAAATTAGGCTTGCGGTACATTTTGCCCTTCCGCCATATGCCCAATTTTGGGATTTCTCTTGCCCCCTTCTGGGAATCAATAGTCACATCCCTTAAGTTCAAAACGAATTTTTGTTTCTTCAAATATCTTAATTTTTACCAAAGTTATGAAGAATTTAGTGTTTTAACATTTAACAAATTCAATTTTTCGACCTTCGCCGCCTCAAAATACTAAACAAATTTCAATCGTCCATACCGCGAGAACGGTGCATCGGATCAAAATTTCTCAGGAGACATAAAAATTAGCATTTTTTCTAAGCTTTCAAATGTCGTAAACTGCGTTTTAAAAATATTTGATTTATTTGCGACATGCGCATGCGCAAAATGGAAAAATTGACAAAATCCAAAATTTCGGCAATTTCGAAAAACTGCTACATTTTGTTTTGCCTTTTTTCGAAAAGATCACCTCAAAATACATAGAATCCATTTTGTTTCATCTAATTACAATTTAATGTAAGCTCAAAACCGGTAATTTAATTCGATTATCATTGATGATGTGCAATAGTATCTCTATTGAAAATCCTATAATTGTAGTGATATAAGGTTAGCATTTTTTTTTTTAGATGAAAAACCTGAACTAACAAGCACGAATCAAAATGGAAAACAAAGAAAAAAAAGACAAACCGTTACAACATACAAATCAGAAAGTAGTTCATATTCAAAATCAGAAAGTTCTAGTTACAGCAAGGTGACCTGGACAACATTCAGCATTGGAGGAGGAGGGGGACATGGAGTAGTAATATATGGAGGAACGATAAACGGAAACGTATATGGGGTTGGAGGAGCTGGTGGAAAGTAAATTAGTTTAACCAGCTTCTTGCTGCTCGATATGTTAAATATCCTGGAATAGACATTTGTAATTTCTGTTAAATAGTATTCTGTAAATCGTCCATCTATGTTCTCAACTTTTAGAGGCCTGTTAAACATTATTTATTTGAGATTCATTTAAACTAATTTTCGCCAAAGGTAAACCTGGAAATAGTCCATTAAAAGAAAATAAGAAGTGTGGATTACACAATCAATGAGCAAACAATTTAGTTACAATTTTAGATTTTAGTTCATACTTTTTGATTATTGTTACCAAAATTATTATTTTTAAAGTATTATTTTAAAAAATTCGTTAAAATATTAACAGAAGTAAGTTAGTGAATAGGAAAATGTTTTTAAAATCAGTATAAACCACTCTACTTTAAATTGTCATGCAATATTAACGAATCACTCTATATAGTACATAAAAATGTCAATAAGTAACAAATACATTTATTTTCAAATTAATAATTTTATAGGAAAATCCTGTGACATATAGCTTGTTAATTCTAAAATTACACTGTTTAAAGAAAATTATATACCTCACTCTTTGAACTGTTCAATCTCTTTCAGGATTGTCCTTAAAAATTATGAATTATTTGGGATAGTTAACATATTATTTAAAAAAAAAATGCACATTTTGGGGCGATGTGGATATTACTCTAACGTCATACACATTATAACCATTATGTGTAAATATGTGTAAATAACAATAATTAAGATAATTTATTAATATATTATATTTATTTATTTATTTATTTTTTAATAAAAATAATAAAATCTTAATTTTGCTGTTTTTTTGTTTTTTAACATTCTTTAAACATCCATGAAAAAAAAAAGTACAAAACTTGCACAAACACATAATAGTAATTTACGTTATAATCCAGGAAGCGAATTATTGAGATAGGAATTAAGCAGGAGCGCTTTCTCCATTGGTTCATTTGTGCAGTGAACACCCAGTAACATTTCATAAAAACACATGATTTTAAACAAAATAACACAAAAATATATAATCAATTTTAATAATTTTATTGTTTTCATACGTATTAATCTCTATTTTTTGGTACGCCACTGCGTTTTGACTAATCGCGTCTCTTTGACTCACTTTTCTGAGCGAGCCCGAGGGGGCGAGATGCTTTCGCGAAAGCCTCTAGGTAAAAAAGAGAGGTTAACGTGAAACGAACAATAACCTGCTTAAAATCACTAAAATCATCTTATTTTACTCAACGCGCACAGTGACGTCACAAAATACGAATCTTTTAAATCACAGATATAGAATAAAGAGGAGATGCAATGATGGTACTAAAAGTGTATTACCCTTTTACGACATTAGGTGAGTTGGGGCAATATCGTTTTCGGGATAAGAGCATCACCACGTTAAATATTTATTCCTGTTAGACATTGTAAGGGGTTTTCTCGCCACAGAGAAAACGGTTCCTTACGAATGGTACTTGTTACGGGCGGTTCTCGAGCGCTAGATTTTTGATGATGGTTTACTCCACAAACTTTCGAAAAGGCGTCGAAAGTACTCAGGTAGCTACAAATGGAGATGAAAAATTCCAGGGGTCAAAGGTCACTTAGACACAGGTAATAGTAGGCCACAAGTAACGGGCTTTATTCGTTGCTTGGGCTCGTACAGAATTTATCACTAGCTGAAATATAAGGGGAAAATAAAGTAGGGAATTATTAACCAGTAATACGGCAAGTTAACATTGACACATATATTGTTTTAAAATATTTACAAAAAAATTATATATTTCAACGCCCACCCCAGTTGTGGTGATAGTCAATATAACCCTGAACAAAAAAAATAAAGAAACAAAACGGACGGTATTGAACCCCGACTAGTCTCAATCAGACGTCAAAATTGAATTAAAATAAAATAAATGTTTCGGTCGCAGAAAAAAAATTATTAACTTGGCTATTTAGTTGGTAATTAAACGAAAACATAATTCCCATTTCGGTAAGGAAAAATCCTAGGAGCGGTCGTAGCAAACATTAACTATTTAACTGTTGTATCGGGAATTAATCTGAAATGTAGGTATTTTACTATTCCGATAAGGAAGAATTATCTAAACGGTCATAGAGACTGCGAGGTGACGGGAACGCGAAAGAATTACTTATAGTAAATATACGAAAAAAAAAATAAAAAAAAATCCAGGGGTCAAAGGTCACTTAGACACAGGTAATAGTAGGCCACAAGTTACGGGCTTTAATCGTTGCTTGGGCTGGTACAGAATTTATCACTAGCTGAAATACAAGGGGGAAATAATGTATGGAATTAGTAACCAGTAATACGGCAAGTTAACATTGACACATATATTGTTTCAAACTATTTACAACATAAAAAAAGAAATAAATTAAGGTATTTCAATGCACACCTTCACGGTAATATGTACAAACCCTGAACAAAAATAAACAAACAGAACGGCCGGAAATGGCTTTCGTATAGCCTCAATCAGACGTAAAAAAATGAAATCAATGTAGTAATTACGGTCGCAGCAAAAGTTTATTATTGAACTGTCTATTAGGTTGTTGAGCTAAAAATGTAACTTCTTATTTCGTCCAGGAGACATATTAATTCGGTTGTAAGAAAAATTTACTATTAGACTATTTTTACGGACGCAAGAACAATGAACTATTTAACAGTTTAATCGTTAAACAAACTAAAAATGCAATTTATTATTTTTCTACAAAAAATAATATTAACGGTCGTAGGAAAAATTAACTGTTGAATTGTCTAATCGGTATTGCATATACGGTTGCAGAGAATGCGAGGAGACAGGTTCGGGACAGTACTACTTTCAGGGCTGAAACCGGGACTCTATAAGAAGTTTACTCAAACTAGTGGTTGGAAAGTAAAACCAACTAACAACCGGTATAGCACATTATCTCAGAATGAAGTGATCGTAATCACGAGCCGCTTCAGACAGGGAAATGATACTATATTGGTTCACTTAAAATAACGGAGACATGTAAAATAAACTAATAACCGGGATAGCACATTACCTCTGAATGTAGTGATCGTAATCACGAGCCGCTTCAGACAGGACAATGATACTATTTAAGTTCTCTTAAAATTTGCGGTTCGGAGTATAAAAGAAAATGTCTCGTCGCAATTCTATTAAGATAACAAATCAAAAAAATTAGACGATTCCCAAACAGTTCCGACCAATTATTTTTATTGGTTAAACCTTTAAATAACCTAAAATGAAATTTACGATTTTTCCACAGAAATTTACGGTAGTAGGAAAAATTAACTATACGACTATATTTACGATCGAATGAAAAATAAACTATTTAACAGTTAAAGTCTTAAACTAAAATGAAATTCCAAAACAAACGGTACTTTCTAATAAGAATAAATTAAAGTAATTCTTAATCAAAACAAATTTCAATTCTTAACTCAACACGGAATAATATTAATTAAAAATAAATCAAAATAAAACGGTTTCCAATAGCACGACTTAAAGTCTCGAGCAAAAAAAAGAAATACTAATTTATAAAAAAACAATGACAACAATGTACTTTTCGTCAAGATCGCGGCTAGAAAATTATATCGGTTTAAAATTGTATCTCTCGCGAGCAATATCGGAATCGTGGATTTCGGTGTCTAAATAATTTTTCTATTTACGGCTGTTCGATAAATCGGTGTATTAGGAACTAAAATTTTTAATTAAATCTCGGACCTCGTTCGTCGATAACCCTTCTAATAACAGAAACCCCACCATTACAACTTGCGCACGCAGAGTATCTGAACGATTTGGTCTAAACAGCGACAACCTGATATACAGGACATATCCACGAAGTTAAAATTAAGTAAAAGTCGAAATTAATACCCGGAATTAGTAAAAAAAAATATTAACGAAAATTGACTTCATTACACCGGCTATTCCCCCCTCTCGTCGGCCCTGGTTTCACGCTCCCTCTAGTAGTAATTGCTCGGAGGTAAATATAAAGACAATTCCGACAAATTTAATGTCAAAATTATGCACGGCTATGAAATTTCCTGTTTCATCCCCACTTTTCTTTTATCAATATTCCTAAGAGCAATAGATTTATTAAAATTTTATTTATTTATATTTTTGCAACTAAAATGACCCGTATCATTCAATTTGCGATAACCCATTTTTTTTAATCCAATAACTCTGTATATTGATGATTTAAATAAATCTGTTTATATTAATATCATGTTTACTTTATTGATTGCAATGAATATGATGTTTTTCCAGTTTTCAAATAATGTCTACGAGTCCGAAACGCGGTCGCGTAATCATTGGCGTAGCAAAAGGGTTTTACTTTTTGTAGAGATTCTGAATTTTACCGTTTCTATACTAAACGGGAAAGGTGTATAATTGTATAATTATTAATAATAATAAAAAAGTTTATTTACTGATAGAAATACAGTACAAAATACAAATATAAAGGCATAAATAATAATCTCACTAAAAAAATAACCTCTGGTTTTGAAGTAATTTTTGGTTTGATAGCAACAGTACAAACATTTTAGTGCAGTAATAAAAAATATTGTACGAATTTTGTCATTTTTGAGAGATCAATAAATTTTCTTTTTTTTATCAATAAACCCTAAATACCTCCACTCATTAATAATAAAGTTTATTTAGGAGTAGAATAATTTACATTTTGTTTTATGATATATAAAACAAACAGTAATACGACTAAATATACAGAACATATTATTCAAATACATGACACTAATTTAAAATGTTTCATCTGTGTAACCCAAGCGGGTGGGTGGCTCAGTGGCAGAGTCTCTGCCTGTGGATCCAAGGGCCTCAGGTTCGAATCCCACCGTTGACCGGGATTTTTTTATTTATTTATTTAAAATTAATTCTGATGCCTTGGTAGGATTCCCCACTCGACCATTCACTGTTGGGTTCTAATTTACAGTGCTGTTCTTGAAGTGGCGCTGGTACACAGTAAGAGCTCTTTCACACGGGGATACTGTATGCCAGATACGCGTATCCGAGATACAGAATCGCGGTCGAAAAGTTGGGCTGCTGTATCGAATTCACGCATCTCTACAATCAGTACTAAAATGGTCACAGTGGCGTGCCTAGGTTTGAATTAAGGATCTAGAAAAGTGCATTATACTGAGGTATACAGTGAGCATCATAAGTCTTACCCCCCTATCTAACTCGTTACTTGTGTCTTGTTAGGAAAATCGCTGAGACACGTCGATTTTTGATTTTTACAGTGTACATTTTTGTATAAATAGTTTACCCTTAATTTCATCCCTTACTGGAGAGGAGGAACCCTTCTGAAAAATTTAAATGGCATGGGGTGGTGAGTGATAGCTCATTTGAAAGGGGGTTTTATTCTCTATTCAACAGTACAAAAAATTTTAAAATTTGCTTCATTAATTCTCGACTAATTATTGTTTCAGAATAACGGAAATTAACGCAGCGTATTCATCCTTAGAATTAAAATTCGGCACTGCATGATATCGGTTTTGGTTCAGACGTGAAGTAAGACTTTTTGCCATTAGACAAGGTCACTGTTATTTTAGTTGCTTTCTTATTTGCGATGTTTTGTTATTTTTAAACATTAATAAATCAACACGTAATGAAGCAAATTTCAAAATTTTTTGCACGGTTGAATAGAGAATAAACTCCCCTTTCAAGTGAGCTATCACCCACCACCCCATGCCATTTAAATTTTTCGAAAGGGTTGCTCCCCTCCAGTAAAGGATAATATTAAGGGTAAACTATTCATACAAAAATGTACATTGTACAAATCAAAAATTGACGTGTTTCGGCGATTTT